TAAATAATCTGAAACTTTTGGAATACTCTAACAACCGAACAACATTATTGAAAAATACTTGTAAAAAATATTACCGTAATAAAAATTACTTAAAAGGGCATGCGTTACTCGTGCAGTTGTAAACTTTAACTTCATGATCTCTATGTAACGTGACATGCCATGCAGTACATATTATCATGTCGACTACGAAATCCACAGGCACTATATCCGATATTGCATCTCTCCTACCTCGTATCGCTGTTGCACATCCTCTGCCGATTAGCACAATGGTACCTGGTAACATTAAATTGGTTTAGAAATTATTTGTGAATTTTGATTACCAGAAATGTAGCGCTAAATAGATTGGTAAGAATTCTCGTAATTGTGAGCAACAACAAAGTTGAACTATAATAATGATGATCAAGTGGAGAGCCTCTCATTTATCCTCTCACAAACAAATCGATTAACTCCACTTTTAGGAAATGTAAGGAGTATTGAAAAATTACTGTCGGAAAAGATCTATGAAAATACTTGTTAATGCAGAAATATTCTCTATCCAACCAGGACATGGTTCTTGCAAAGAGGCACCAACTATGCTTGGCCGTACTATCGCAACTGGCAGATCTTTGCACTTGCTTGCTACAATCTGCTCTGCTAAATTCTTACTAAATGCGTATGTATTTGGATAAGTTTTTAAAATCCCTTTTTCCATTAGATTTATCGAATTTTTGTCGCCCTCCGAAGGTTTCAAGCTCGTACTGCAAAGTCGATAATAAGTGAACGTATTATTTACGTTATAATTATGTATATCGTTATAATTATGAACATAATATTCGTAAATCATGGAACAACGTTTACATATAACTTATTCTTACGTATAAACTTTTTCCCCAATCTCATGTAGATTAGCGTTACTAAAAGCTGTGCTGACGTGGACGAAGCTAATTGGATGCTTTAGTTGGTTCCAAAGTTCGATGATACGATCTGTACCTTTCGTATTCACATTAACAGCCACGTGTAATGGCTCGTTGAATCTCACAGTGGCCGCGGCGTGAAACACTATATTTACTTTCTCTGACAACATATTTCTATCTTCTCGCGAAAGACCTAAATCTGGCAGACTCACGTC